CATTAATTAGGGTCAGTTTCTCGCACTTCTGATGGCTTACTTAGTGATAGTTCTTCTGTTCTCTCCCACATATTATACTGTCTGGCTGTTTTAGGAACTCACTGGGGCAGAAAGAGTCATAATTATACACCTGTATAGCATCCAATGGTGCCTCTAGATCTTATAGATCTATGATGGAGTAGACAAGATGTGGGTCCTGTAGCACCTTAAAAACCAACAAGATTTCAAGGGTTTAGTGCCCTGACCTGGCTAGCCCAGGTAAGCCTGATCTCTTGGAAGCAGGGCCAAGCCTGGCAAGTACTTGGATGGGAGACCTCTAAGGAGTACCAGGGCCAGGATGCCCACTTCGAATCCTGTATATCTGTATATCTATCCCCTTCTCACCTTTAGGATTAGTTCTGACACTAAATGTATGCACAGAAGACTTGCCTTTACTGTACTCAGTAAACTTGAACCTTTCTGAAGGAACATTGTTGAGAACTGACTGCTGCGAGACTCTGACAGACGCAGAGAGAGGCCATAGCAAGCCACCTCTCTGAGATGTCCAAGCCCCACCAGGGGTCACCAGAAGTCAACCATGACTTCCAGGCATACACACACACAGAGAGAGAGAGAGAGAGAGAGACACACACACACACACACACACAAATACCAAAAAAGTTTTAAAAAAAAAGATTTCCAGGGTTTAATCCAGAGTCAAACCTCCCTATCTGACAAATGAAGATTTGACTTTTGAAAACTTATACTCCAGAACTCTTGTTGGTCTTTAAAGTGCTACTGGACTTGATTCTTGCTTGTCCACTGCAGACCTGAAACTATGTTAGAAAGTAGCTGGACACGGGCAGCTTTGTTGCAGTAAGTAAGGTGGGGATCATCAGTTTTGTCTCTTAAGCAGACAAAGGAAGCAAATCAAAAGTTTATATCTTGAATAAAATTTCATTAGTCTTAAAGGTGCCAGTTGACTCAAACTTTGTTAAACTGCAGACGACACTATTTCATATGTTCTGCCATTTCATTCATACCAGTCCTTGTTCTTTCCCCTTAGATACGAGGGTGAAATAAACAAACGCAGTGCAATGGAATTTACCTTCACGACTCTCAAAAAGGTAAGCAGGTGTGCTTTCCCATGCAATGGTCCCATGCAATGGGATGGCTGTCTTTCTGCAGCCAGGTGGGTGAACTGCAAACCGCCTAAAGGTATAGGTCAAATCTAAGATGGACGAGGGGGGCCTCCAAGTGTTGAGATGCGAATTTCATGCAGGTTTTGACTTGGTGAGGTTTTCCCCCAGTTTTGGAATGAATAATTCAATGCAATATTCTCTAAATAAAAAGTTTATTTTTAAAAAGGGAGGCAGACCTCTGATAGGTATCTATATGTCCGACAGATACGTTTTAAGATGCGTAGGCCAAAGCTGACAATTACCGTTTTAAAATGTCCTCTATGCCCTGTAAGGTATGTCAGAAATAAAAAATGAGAATCGTAACTGGAAAAAAATTAACTGGGTTTCTAATCCTTGACATTTCTATTTCAGAATATGAGCTGGGAGTCCTGTCCCACATATCAAGTCCTCCCTTTCCCTCTCCCTCTCCTTCACTGGCTGTCATTCTCAGGAACAGGGAAAAGATGTTACCAGGGACAGGATGTTTGTGTGCGAGAGAGATGGTGGTGCTGTTTTTGGCAGCAACCATGCATCTTCCTTAATGTCTGCACTTGGCCTCAGGATTTTGTTATGCTAGTTCTTCTGAAAAGCCAATAAACAACAAAATGTAATCCAGAGAACCTGTAATCGCCAGTGACTTCTGGCATTCTTGTGACAATGTCTAGAGTAAACCTATTTAATTATAATCAGCCTGTTCAAGATTTCTGCAGGATTTTCATCTGCAAACAGAATTTTCCTGCTCTTCCTGTTCTTACAGCTATAAGGACAGTCTTGTGCTACTATGTAATTGCCTTGTTTCACCTCTGGAGGGATGGTTTTTGAGTGTTAGTTGCAATTGCCATGGAGACTGTCTGGAGACAAAACCAGTTGGGTGTCATTACAGAACAGAAACCTTTTCTATGACTCGTTGCTATTATGAATTATAAATGCCTTTTAAATTGATTCATCCCCTTATTGAAACCTGTTTACAGGTAGCTTTCTGTTTACTCCAATGGTGCTAGCCAACAATTCTTCTTTTCTTATAATTAAAAAGATGACTCTGTGGGCCAGCCCAGTTTACTTCCTTCTGAGCTCCGCCTAATTCCCAGTAGAATTAAAGTTATTATAAAAGCGTACAGATATGTTGCAAAATGGTGGGAAAAGGGGAGGTGTGTACCCCAAACCCCTAAAGGATACACACAAGACAGACTCCATCCAATCCAGGAAATGGTTTCCAAACAATTCTCGAGTATTACGGGGTTCCTTGGAAACATCTCAGAGGTTTCTCAGTGACAACATTAGGAACGATGGGGACATTCCCCTGACGTTGGCCATCAGTCCTTTTTATCTTCTCCAGAAATACGCAACTGTAGGTTAGCACTGAGTGTGTTCTAGATCATTCTTTTACAACTCAAGCACAGTGATAGGGCGATTTCGCACTAGAGCTGCCTCACGGTGCAGCCGCCATTTGCCCCGACACTATTTGTCAATTTCACACCCGGGGCTGAATTTGACCCGCGGCTTCGCCCGATTTCCTCCGCAGTTTCGTGATCCTCAAAAACCAGGATCACGAAACTGCGGAGGAAATCGGGCGAAGTCACGAGTCAAAATGCAGCCCCGCAGCTTCGGGTGAAATTGACATGTTTGTGTCGGGGCAAACGGCGGCTGCGCCGTGAGGCTCTAGTGCGAAATTGCCCATAGTGACATTGAACATGCAAAGAACTGATCGTGCGTGCACCTTAGAAGATACACCCAGAATCATTTCAAATGTATTGGAATTGTGACTAATTTGCAGGAGTTTAATGGGGGAGGTTAAAATCAATGTGGAAAGAGTTCCCTAAAAGTAGAAAGTTTTGAAGTCACTGATTTGGTGCATAATGAGTTGAATTTGCCACTGCAGACCACCTGCAAAGTATGACTTTCTTGCTTCCCTTTCCCATTTCAGCCCCAAATTCCACCCCAAAATCTGTTCACTGGGAGCAGCAATTTAGCCTGGAGCAGGAAGGCAGAGGCCCAAATCATGCTGTACAGGCAGAAGTTCTTCTGTCCATGGAACCACTCCAGTGGATACAATCTAATCCAATACATTTTTTAAAGGAAGTAAACCTTCACTTCAGAAAAGTGCCCATGAAAACAGAAAATGTGCATCTGAACCAGACCATTTTTTACTCTAATGTTTAGTGGTTATGGAGTGCTCTGGGGGCAAGCTGAGAAAGAGAGATCAACTTTTGTGAAAATGTCCAGGAGAGATATCTGATGATTTTACTGTTGAGTTAGTTTTGATTTGTTTCAGTTTTGATTATAGGTTCTAGCCTGGTTGAATTTTATATTTGTTTTTATTGTAAGGCACAGAGAAGAAGGGCAGGGCATAAATTATCTAAATGAATGAATAACATCTGAGCATTCAGCAGAATGTCACTCCTGCAGACAAGCCAACCTCTTCCAATTTGGGAGTTACACGAGGGTTTCTCTCAGGGTCCACCACTCCCCCACCTTACGTCATCAAAAGTTTCAAGGACAAACTCTACTCTTGTTGAACTTCACAGGATCTGGACAATGGATTCCTGCACAAAACTGAACTGGAAGCAAAACTGAATGGACTTCATGCTATGGCAGAGTTAATGAAAACTATCCATGAGCAGGTAAAAAACAAAAAGCAAAGTTTGGTGTAGTGGTGAAGTGCGCGGACTCTAATCTGGGAGAACCGGGTTTGATTCCCCACTCCTCCACTTGCACCTGCTGATGTGTCCTTGGGTCAGTCACAAGCTCTGGCACAGCTGTCCTTGAAAAAGAGCCATTTGTGTCAGAGTTCTCTCAGCCCCACCCACCTCACAGGGTGTCTGTTGTGGGGAGGGGAAGGGAAAGGAGTTTGTAAGCCGCTCTGAGACTGCAAGTGAATCCAATCTCTTCTTCTTCTTCTTCTTCTTCTTCTTCTTTTTGAGGGAAGGAAATAAATCCAATCTCTTCTTCTTCTTCTTCTTCTTCTTCTTCTTCTTCTTCTTCTTCTTCTTCTTCTTCTTCTTTTTGAGGGAAGGAAAAAGGGATTCCTTCAAGCTAGGATAAATACCAAGAGCATACAGTCTGGTTTATTCCTTGTACATTTATAAGTTAATGAGGGTTCTAGTTTGGAGCTCATCCAGGTCTATTCCAACCAGTCATTGTTTGTTCTCATTCATCATGCCTAATCTGCATGAGTCACAAGGTATCCGTGCAGAGCCTGCATTGATTCACCATTGATATTGTATTACCAGATAAAAGGACTTGTTGCCTGAACATCAACAGTGCGCGACACACAGGGGAACTGGGCAGAAGGTGTGCACAGTTTCCCCAAGCCACATTTTAATTGTTGACCCAGTACCTTTGTGCCTCAAGTTCAACATTACATCGCAAGGAGCTTGATGTAGTTATAGTAATGGATGTGTAAATTTATTTACTTTGTTTTACTTTCATTTTTATTTTGAAAGCTTAGCTTTTTAAATTTTATTGCACGTGTTTTTGTTACCATGCTTTGTTTTCTTCTCCTATTTGTGCTAGGGTTGCCAAGTCCATCTTCCGCCCCCAGCGGGGGACTTTGGGGGCATTCCATTCCTGGAGGGGGCGGGGCATCCCCGACGTGATGACGTCACGTTGGGGACGTCTGCCGCCCCGTCCATGTGCTAGATCTCCAGAAAGGCCAGTTCCCTGCACTTAAAGGAGCCGCCGTTTCCCTTTTAAGTACACGGAGCCGGCATTTCCCCTTTAAGAGCAAAGAGCCGGCATTTCCCTTTTAAGTGCGCGGAGCTGACATTTCCCTGCAAGCCTGATCTCAAGCGGAGATGGGCTTGGGAGGAGAAGTCCATGCACTTAAAGGCAGCCACCCCTCTCTCTCAAGAGAGAAGGGAGAGGGGTGGCTGTGGGTATTGGGGGTGGGTAGAACCCCCCCAAGAACGGGGGACCCCTGGCAAACTGGGGGGGGGGGTTGACAACCCTAATTTGTGCATACTATTTTACGTCCAGTGTAGCGCTTCAGGCCATTGGAGCAGCGTCCAAGAGGACACAGAGGGGTACAGAATGATTCTGTCCTCAGCCAGCCACCTGCACTACTAACCCTGCAGTGAGCAGCCAGTGGGACAACTGCAGGCAGCAGAGGAGGATGAGGAGGAGCTGTGGGGAGGGACAATGGATGGATGGATGGATGGATGGATGGATGTCATTTATTCCTTCATTATTTTCCCCATTTGTTCTTGATATTATAACATGGGGGAATGAAATGAAAGAGGCCTTTTCTATTCGTGTTTTTTATTTCTTTGGCAATGAATATACATGTCTACCGGTAGTAATTACAAAGAAATACAAATAATAGATAAGGGAAATTACAAAGACTAAATAATGGGAAATTACAAAGAATAGATAAGGGCTTGGATCTAGGGTTGCCAGCCCCAAGGTGGTGCCCCAGAATCACAGACCATCTCCAGACAACAGAGATCAGTTCCCTTAGAGAAAATGGATGCTTTTGAGGGCGGACTCTGTGGCACTGTGTGGCCCACTGAGGTCCCTGTCCTCACCAGGCCCCACCCCCAAATCTTCAGTAGTTTCCCAAACTGGATCTGGCAACCCTACCCTCTCATCTCCCGCTGGTGGCGACCTTACTTGGATCTGCCCTAGAATCTCCACAGATGCAGGGGAGGAGGCAATTTTGTTAATTTGTTCCTCCTATGGGAGACCTCCTATTCCCCCACCAAGCTAATTGTAAGGTTCCCCCGTCCCCCAAGAGCTGTATTTCGGGGTGTGTTTGGGGTTACCCTCTCCTCTCTCTTGTAATGGGAGAAATATTAGGCAGGTTCCAAACCAAGTCTAATTCAGTTTTGGATACCCACATGTACAAAAATGAGGTAGAAAATGTCTATCCATCGACAGAATGTAGCAGGCCTTTGTTGCCTGTGCAGAGTGTTGGAGGATGCATGGAATGAGCCCACCTGTTCATCCACAGACATACATATGCCCCCTGTAGATTGCAGCTGGTTCCATGTATAAATCTGGTGTGACGCCACCAAGGTTTTTTTTATTGTTTATTTTACAAAATGTATATCCCACCCTCCATTCTGCCCTCACAGGGGCCACCAAGGCAGCTAACAAATTAAAATGTATATACTGATATTAGATTTTAAAACCATTTAAAGCCAACCCCTCTGCACACACAAAACTACACCATTAAAACAATTAAAAATAGAGCTAAAATATAGAAAAGACATAAAAAACAACAAGACATTGGTCAAGAAGGAGAGATCACTGAGGGAATGCCAGACCGGGGGGGGGGGGGTCTTTCCCCTTTACCTGCTGGCAGAAGATGACAACAGAAGGGGACTGACACGTCTCCCTCGGGAGAGACTTACCAAGCCTTGGTGCTGTGACTGAGTCGGCCCTCTTGCCACCTGCCTAATCTCAGAAGGATGGGGCACTCAAAGCAGGGACTCCAAAGTTGAACGTAGTGGTCGGGTAGGTTCATAACGGAATAGGTGGTGCTTCAGGTACGTTGGTCTGAAACCATATAAGCCTTTGAAGGTAAGCACCTAGGGTTGCCAGGTCCCATTTTCTCCCTGGCGGGGGGATTTGGGGTGTGTGCCCGGGATGGGGTGGGGCACAGAGTGATGTCATTGTGCCAGGGACGCAGCGCCGTGTGCACACATCCACCCCACTTTCCCCCAACTATTTAAAGGGAACCTTTTGGGGGGGAGCGGGGGCCATCTGCTCCTGCCCTGTAAATGGTGAATTCACCACTTGCAGGGCAGGAGCGTGTGGCTGTCGCTTCAAAAGAGCGGGTGCCACACATGCCTGCCTTGCAAGCAGTGAGTTTGCTGCTTGCAGGGCGGCTCGGGTGGCCCCCACTCTTTTCAAGCAGGCACCGCACACGCCTGCCCTGCAAGTGGTGAGTTCACCACTTGCAGGGCAGACTCGGGCAGGCCCGTAGCCAGGATTTTTTAATTCAGGGGGCCTTTAAATAGGGGGTGCTGATAAAATAAAATAAACTCACACTCGCTAGTTGGAGCAGGCAGGAGCAGGGTTATTTCTCCTATTGTGGAGGGTGGGTGCAAGTGGAAGTCACTGACTCCGAGTAACCGGAGGAGGATCCCCTCCTCCTCTCCTTTCTCCCTTAACCGCATTGGCTGTGTGGAGTGCAGGGAACTACTGCGAAAGTGGCGGGCTCCTGTTTGGTTCTCTATTTCTTTATTCCTGGCTGACTTCGTGCTTCCACGGTGACTTTGCCTCGGTCACGCCCCCACCCACCGCCCTGCAGGGGAGCTTTCTGCTGCAACACTTCTCAGACTTGGACGTGGCAGCCCACCCAGGGAGACAAGCCAAAGGAGGAGAGGTGGACAAGCAGATGAGATGGAGATGGCTGTTCTGCTGCCACTTGTGGGTTGTGTGCGCCCTGCGTTGGTGCAACCAGGCTGAACTGAGAAGGCGGGAGCTGAAGGAAAAACCCGGGAGGGGAAGCTGAGGAAGTGCTGTGTTTCTCTCTCCCTTGGCAGCCAGCTTCCTCGGTGATGAGGGCACAGGCATATGCAAGTGAGCGAGGTCTGCAATCTTGCACTGGAGGGAGATGGGGAGAAATCTCTGTAGTTGCAGGTTCAGCCACAGGACCCACAGCCCCCTGGCCCCACCTCACCTGCCAGCCCGTTCCCCTGGCTGCCTTGTTCTGCTTCATGCTGTGGCCGCCCGGGATGGAGTTGTGGGGCTGCTGGCAGGTGGGGACGTTGTAGGGCCTTGGAAGGAAGTCGGGGGGCGGGCCCCGAAATGCTTCAATGTAGCTACGGGCCTGGGCTTGGGTGACCCCCCCACTTCAAATGAGTGGGCGTCGTGTGTGCCTGCCCTGCAAGCAGCGAGTTCCCCCTCTCCCACCTGGGGACTGGCATCCCTATCAGCACCAGCACTTTGCATTGTGCGTGGAAGCTAATTGGGAACGCCACTGCAGATGAGCCAAGACTGGAGTGATATGGTCCCTAAGGCCCACTCCAGTCAATGTCCTGGCTGCAGCAGTCTATACCAGTTGAAGTTTCCAAACACTTTTCAAGGGCAGCCCCACGTACAGCACATTGCACAAATCGAAAATGTAACCAGGGCATGCACCACAGTAGCTAGATCTTTTCTGCCCAGGGAAGGCCGCAGCTGGTTAACCAGTGGAAGATGGCAAAAGGTACTTCTGGTCACAGCTGCCATCTGCTCATCCAGGAGTAGGACTGAATCCAAGAGAACCCCCTGACTACAACCCCCTGATCCTTCAACAGGAATTCAACCCCATTCAGAATGGGTGACACCTTAAATCCTGGGTCAGACCTTTCACTCACCAGGAGCACTTCTATCTTGTGTCATCAATAAGTTTTGGTTTATTAGCCTGCATCTGCTTCAAAACTGCCTCCGGGCCCCGGTTCAGGGTTTTTATAACCTCCTCGGGATCAGCTAGAAGCCTGAGATACAGCTTAGTGTCACCTACACATTAGTGAGCAACCCAGCTCAAATCTCCAGCTGACCTCACCCAGCAGTTTCATGTAGATGTTGAAGACCATAGGGAACAAAATGGAACCTTGTGGCACCTTACAAGCCAAAGGTCAAGGGGAGCTTAGTGTCATCTACACATTAGTGACAACCCAGCTCAAATCTCCAG